CTCCATCAGCCTTAACACATCAGTTAGTCACAACCCAAAAGAACTAAAAGCGCTCCAAATGATATGATCTTTATTATTTAACAAAAGGAGTCAGGAGGTAGGAGGGCTCTTGAGGTCATAAGAGGCTCTTAAGGGCCTTTTGATTCTTTTCATGTTACTGCTCCTCCACCATTGGTGTACTCGTCCTCGACCTGGCTTTCTGCATGGTCTGTCAGAGTAGCGTGGTTCCATAGTAGTTCCAGGCATCCAACCCCAAGAGGAAGGGACCTTTTCTTAGATCTCTTTTTAAGATGGACTTCCGTTTTCCAGAGGCCCCTTCAGCCGACTTCCCCTCACATCCCATTGGCCAGAGTTATGTCATGTGTTCATTTCTAAAGCAATCATTGGCAGGAGTGGGAACCAATCATGATTCCAAGTTCTATTAGGAAGGAGGAGTAGCTATTGAGTACTATCAGCTACACTGTGCTAAGCATCTATTATTATGCTGTCTAATTTTGCATCTGCTGATGGAGCATGAGAGGAAAAGGTCTGAGTCCTTAAGTTTCAGTTTTGGAAGAAAAACCTCTGAGAGTGGTGTGATGGTAGATACTATTTTGGTGATGGAGGTTCTCCTCCCACACCTATCCATTTGTTGTCTGGATGTATTTCATCATATGCTTTCATAGCATTACAGAGTTGAAATAAAAGTGATTTCCTCTTCCTCCATGCATGTACCTTCCATCTTTTCAACTCACAGTAGAACACAGGCTTTTTTCCACACTGCCTAGAGTGGACCAGTTAAATAACAGAGATCTGTGCAGAGGACCATTTGGTGACCTTACCGCCTGTGTCTGGCTCTCTCTTCAGAACAGCATGATACTCTCTGCTGCCATCTTCATCACCCTCTTAGGCCTGCTTGGTTACCTCCATTTTGTCAAGATTGATCAGGAGACTCTGTTAATCATTGACTCCCTTGGCATCCAGATGACTTCATCCTATGCCTCAGGCAAAGAAAGCACTACCTTCATAGAGATGGGCAAGGTGAAGGATGTGGTCATTAATGAGGCTATTTACATGGTAAGTAGTTAAGTAGTAAGTATTACAGGTTTCTCTGGAGGAGATAGCCCATGGCCTTTGCCTGGATCTAAACTGAGTCTTAATACCTTGATGTTACAGAATTAAACTTGAAGATTCTGTTCCAGTATTGTAGTGTTTCCTTTTTGGATGGCATGTCCATAAACCATGAAAGTGAAACTTATATTGGAAAGATACATTCCTTTGTTTGTATAGAGATTTAGCAGGCTTTCATAGATCGTAAGTTAGCATTTTGACTTTATTTTTTAGCCCAGCTTCAAAATCATCTCTTAGTGTTGTTGCTGCTGACGTTTCATCGTTTTTCATTTAAAGAATGAGAATATACTTTTCCCTCACTTCAAAAGCAATCAAGTGTTCTACTACTTAGAGATAACCATTTATAAAAAAGTTTTTAGCCTCCCTTGAAGAAAAAGAAAATAAGTTTCACTTAGATCTCTATTTGGTTTATTTTCTTACAGCAGAAGGTGATTTACTACCTTTGCATTTTATTGGAGGATCCAGTGGAACCACATGGGATATCCCAAGTAGTACCTGTCTTCCAGGTGAGCACAGAACAGTTGTCTAAAGTTTTTTCTCCAAAAAAAATCTGTTACCTTTCTCCGTTCTCTGCATTTCTCCTGCTACTTCGGTTCAGTAGGAATGTAAATTCTTGTCAAGATTATTTGAGGACACCTGACAGCTATTTTTAGTGAGAATTAGTGATTTCAGAAGTTTCTTTCTGAAGCAAATACAGGCTTTCAGAAATACTACAAATTTATCCAAATTTTAGAGAAAAAAATAGCAATTTCTGCTTATAAATCACCATTCATCTACTTTGTTAGTCTGCCAGTATAAGATTTTACATTGATGTCATTGATCTACACATACTGTTATACCCAATTTATGTCTTGCTTTTTAAATCAAATATACATATTTTCATGCATCTACAGAGTCCATTATACTTAACATTTTAAATAGTTATCATGTTGAGTATCAGTTCATTTAGCCACTCTACTGCTAGCTTTTGAAATCATCTCCAGGTTATTTTTTGTCTTGCTCTTACAAAAAATACTTACACAAACAGGATTATAAGTATATAAAGTGTTTATGTATATAGTTAACTGTGCCTTACTGCCCTTCCTTTTCTCACAAAGGATTTAAGGCTGCTAAGCTAAAATTCTTTTGCGTTACGGTTTAAAATTATATTATTAATGTTTATGAACAGTTTCATAGATTTTTACAGTTTGAGATTTGGCTCCAGAGATTGGACTACTTGACCATACTTTTTGGAATTTGTACTTGTTTTTCTACAGTCTTGGCTAAAACAGCAGGTTTAGTTATTTATTTCCTTTAGTATGTAGGTAAAGGAATTTAAAGTTACTAAATTGCTCCTTAAATGACAAAGAGATTTTTCATGTTTCCTTGAATTACCTATCCGTGTTTCCTTTGTTTTACACTATCCATCTCCTCTGTTAGTCAAGCAGAATCTAGATATTGATTATGCATTTGTAACAACTTATATACTTTGGATAACGAACTTGTATTAAATATGCTTTCCACATATATTTTTCCCATTCTGTGACTTTTCTTTTAATTTTGGTTGTATCACATTTCATTGTGCAAAATACTTTTCAATATTTACATATTAAATTGCCCTCCTTGTCCTTGCAGACTGTTTCACAGCTTGTGACATTTCCAGGAGGGTCTGTCTTTTGTTATTCCTCTTGCTTTCTTAGCCAGTAAGGTGCTGTGTGGCCTGAACTTCTGCCTCTCTGAGCTCATACCTGAGCCATCTAGACCCCCTGCTGTGGGGAGAGATTGAGGTTGCACATGGATGCAGCACTGCTAAGCTCTCTCTTATGTTCATCTTGACTCTGCATTTCTTCCCTTTGGAATTCAGAGTGCCAAGCCCCGCCTGGACTGCTTGATTGAAGTGTACAGGAGCTGCCAGGAGATCCTGGCACACCAGAAAGCCACATCAGCAAGTCCATGAGTCCCAGCATTTCAGAAGGCCAGTACTGTCTTCCATGGGAGATGACTCCTAAGCCATAGTGGCTGGTTTATTTTCTGTATTCTAAACCATCAGGTGGACATAGTCCTAGGAACCAGTATGGATGCAGTGGATCTCAGAGCCATAGAGCAGGTGACTGGGAACCTAACTCATTGTGTGATGTTGAGCAAAGTATTTATGTCTGTTTTAGTGATCCCCTTGTAAGGTTTTGCCTACTTTATCAATTGAGGGGAGACCTTAAGCGATATGTCAGAAGTAACGTTGACAAAGAGCACTTTGTGAAATTCCTAAGCACATTCAGGTTTACATTTTGTAGAGATTTGTGGTGCAAGGCAATGGGAAACTGATATCAGATCTCTTAAGAAACATAATTTCCAACTACGCAGTACCCCTGTATAAAAGTCAAGCCCTTCAGGTTCTGGTGAGTAGGAAGAAATGTCCTACAAAAGACTAGTCTCTGTCCACCTAGCTCCTGTGTTCTGTACAGGGTTAATTTATGATGACTGTCTTAATAAACCGATCTCCTTCCAAAACATACACAATAATTTGCCTGGTTCACAGACAGCTGCTTTTTATTGACAACACGAACATGGCACATTTCAGCCATGGATGTCAAGCACATTAATACTCTACTGTTACTCAGCATTGTCTATGGTTTCAAAAACATTTTTTGCCAAGAGGGGCGACATGAAAGGCTGGAGAGAAATTCAACTTTGGTTTCCAGACATGTTAAAGAAGGATAAACACACAAACTGTAGAAGCCTTTGATTATAAGGCAGTTTCTTCTGTGTAAAATTAATAAACCACGGGAGGATTCCTGAAGGGCTGGGAGGGAGATAGGGTGGGGGAAATAGCTTGACCCATAAGTTCAGTGTGAACACAGCTCCATCCTTGCTTGCTTTTTCCTTGGGATCCTAATTTTTTTTTTTAACTCCCAGGTAGATAATAATATCCTCATGGGCTTCAGAGACACTCAGGGTATTACAAACTAGAGCTGTAATTCCTGCCTTTTACACCAGCCCAGTAGGGGTTATTCGGAGCCTGTGGTACATGTGATATTTGACTTGTTCGAGGTAGAAATTTCTCAGCTAGTTCCCAAATCCTGGGGGAAAGGCAGCAGCAGAAATGGGAGATGGCTGTAAAATTTCCAGCCTTGCAAAGTCAAGTTCATTTAAAAGAGGCAGACACTCTCATGTGCTTCTTTTTTTTTTTTTTTTTTTATCACGCTTGTCAGTTTAAAGGGTGAGAGAGGGGAAGCCTACAGCAGCTGAGGTGTTCAGATAAACTAGTTCCAGCCTTGAAGTTCTTGCAGCGTGCAACACACACACACTTTGTTGAAGTCAAAGGCTTGGTTCTTAGATGCTGCTGCTAAACCCATACAGTTTTCAGCACGTTATTGACAAATGCTCAGACTGCCTTAGAGCTATGAAATAAAACTCTGTTTCTCCAATGCTGGAAAATCAGAGTATAATGAACTCTTCGTCTTTTTTTCTGTTAGGGGTGGGTGGAGACAAAGATCATCTCCGCACTCAACATAAGGTCTTAGTTGGGGATGGGGGGATATTTGTATCACCAGGATGCTCTTAGCCTATGTGCCTTCTGCCTTTGGACTAATTCCCAGCGGAAGTTCGCCAGAAGTCTTGAGGAGCAAGACTGGATTCTGTTTCTGACTCATCTTTGGTGGCCTCACAAAGCAGCAGAAACCAGTGCATTTGCTTGGTCTTTCAAAGAACAAGGAAACAAGTGACGATCACCCATTCTACAGTAGGAAGCACAGCCTTCACTGAGCCCTGTCTAATCGTTAAAATGAGACAGGGAGAGGTCATGTTGGACTTACCCCCTGCCCTTGCTTGTACCCAGCTGGGCTGACAGTCCAGTGTGAGGGAGAACAGCTTCAGTCTCAGCAGGGATAGTGCCTTTTCCTTGTCCTGTAAAGACAGGAGCTGCTGCCCCAGAGGGGCACTGCCAATGCCTACTCATTTGCAGTGGGGAAGGGAAAAGGTGAGTCTGTTCCTTTTTCTCCAGCCCTGCCAATACCTTTCCCATCTGGGAATGGAAGTCCAGTTTTAGGGAGTTCCAGGCTTTTGTCACAGTTCAGGTGAATTGGAAATTTTAGTCCTATCTTGTTCAGGGATGTTGGGAAAACTTCAAGTATAAATCCCCACATAAAGACCATGTACAATATAAAAGATACTAGCCCTCCCTGAGAGTATCAGTGCAGAAAGCCTTAATTTACATCACCGATGCCCTCAGTAACCAGTAACAGTGGACCATCCCAGTCTGTGTCTAGAATCGGGCAGCATCCAGAGCTCAGTATTCTGGTGAGAAAAAGTGGTTTCTATACTGGGTCTGGATTTTTAAAAGTTGGGCCCTGAAACAAGGCACCTAGAGAGTAAAGGCTTCATGGACACTGAAATACACATTTCATAGAACAGGGTGGGGTTGGGGGAGGGCTGTCAGGCCCATCACAGTAGTGTCATACCCCAGGATACAGATCTCTAATCCCAGAGGCACCAGGTTCGGCAGGGGGGGGGGGGGGGGGGGGTAGGAGAAACATTCACAGCAACGTTGGCCCTCTGGCAGCACAGGGAACAGAAGCAAAGAACTGTTGTCCATCCAGTTCCCATAGCTGGTGGGCAGCAGGTGGGCTGGTGGGGGGCTTCACAGTTGCAGAGCAATGGTTCATGTAGCTGGCCATGATGAACGTAGCCTCTGCAATCTTGAGACAACAGAAACAAAGGAATTAAACTGGCCTTGGCTTGAATCCTGGCTTTCTCACATACTAGCTGCTACACTGGGTGCATAACCGTCCTGGGCTTCAGTTTCTTACCTCGTCAAAATACCTGGGAGAAAATGTCGGGATCATTTCTGTAAGGTTCAGGGGCCCAGGGAAATGGGTGCCTATTGGTCTGAAGGGCCACTGACACACAGTACCCTCCTGAGAACAGGAGAGGCGATATTCTGCTCTGCTCATCTCCAGGCCAGGGAAGCGGGCCTCCCTGGAGGAAGTGTCTATATCCTCTCCTTTGGCAGGGGTGGTATTAAAAGGAGGAGGTTGGGGAAACTCCAATTTTAGGATTAAAACAGCAGGGTTTCCACTTACTCTCAGAAGGGAGTCAGGAACTAGATCAGAACTTGGGTTTTGGAGTCTTTGTTGTTTTTGCTAGTCTGTATCTCCTGCACTGAGCAGGATACAGAGGCCTTAAAGCAGAAGAGGTCTCTGGGATGGACTTTAAGACTGTAAGGAAGGGGGAGCACGTGGAGACCGTCCCGCTTGGGGAGCAGTGCTGGCAGAAGGCAGGAGAAGAGAGCATGCAGAGGAGGAAGCTGGCCGCCCTAGCCCCTGGGTCGGCTGCAAGAGGAGCAGTGGGGAGCAAGTGGGCACCCGCCTCCAGCCTGTGCAGCGCCGGGCTGCAGGGGCTGAGAGCACCACGGGAGCACCTGGACCAGAGCGCGCGCCCTCCCAGCCGGCCCCTCACCCGTCAGCTCGGCAGTGGCTACTGAGCTGCTACCCAACCTGAACCCTTTGGAGGACTGATTATAGACAAGACCAAAGTTTTACCTGGGACAGGGCCCTTCTAGGGTATGGTCATAACCCAGCTTCCTCCCTTCACTTCAAGCCCACCTCCTCAGACCAGAGAGATCCAAGTAACATGGTTTAGCAGCTGTCAGACCCACCTTGGGAGCAGCCATCCGGAAGAGCAACTTCTCAATGTGGCCTTTCGCAGAGCTCTGGTCTGGAATGGATCTAATCACAAGCATGAAGTCATCCCGGCAGCCGCCGAAGGTCATTACTGAAGAGTAGGGGTAAGTGATGTGCACTTGCTGCAAGAAGAAGCCAGTCAGTTCTGGGGAGACTTCCCAGCTGCCTCCTGAGCTGAACCAGCACCCCGTCTCTGCCAGGCACGGGCAGCCTTAACCAGAAAGGGAGAACCTGGAAGTGGTCCTAATGTGGAGATCTACATCTTGAATGTCAATAAGCCGTGTCTAGACTAGAGGACGTCAAGGCTTGGGTGGGGTGGGTAGGGAAACCATGGTCACTTAGCTCAGGCCTTTGAGTCTACAGAGGAGAAGAAAAGGCACTGTTGAGGAGAAGGAAGGGTCAGAGAACCAGCCCTTACTCTTTCGTACCATAGTGTTGTGGTCCAGGATGCTGACACCATCCTCATTCACAGCAATCCACACCAGAGTGCTCTCCTTGGAAGACCTCTGTGCAGGCTAGGGAAACAGGAAAATCCCATCAGACATATCCACAGCTAGGGATGCTCCACAATAAGAGCTTTTGGAGGAAGAAGGCACATCAAGGAATCTGCTAGGCAGTGATTTCCAACCTTTATCTTGGAAAACATGAAAGATGGTATTTGTACAGCATGCTGAAGTAAACAGAAGACATCTGGCCTTGGGGCTCTGGCCACCTAATTACCATCTTGAGAGGGGAGGAGTACCCACAGTACACTGTTGGGAGGCTCTGCTGCAGAACAAGGCCAGCCCCAGCTGCTTGTTCATGGGCACAGAGAACGGGCTGTGTTCTCCTAGTGCTCACAAACTGACAGCATAAAACCCACAGTCTCTCCCGGCTGAAGTGCATCTTGGTTCAGCCAATTTGCTACGGGCCGAGAAAGAAACAGGAATGTAAGAATGCAATCCTTTGGGCTTTAGGCTCTACTAGTGAGAAAAGTGGCTATTTGGTGGACAATTCCTGGTATGACTAATTTTCACGGCCGCACCTAAAATAGGGCAATCCAGATTTCCTAGCTCTCCTACCCAAAAGCCTGGGGACAGGGATGGACATGTCCTCATTTTCAGAAGCTTTTCCCAACCTCCCAGACTGAGAGGGTCCCAGGGTACCCTGTTATATGCCTTTATAACACCCCAATACTTCTCCTTTCTTAAGCACTTAGGACAGCTTGTAAAATAACTTACATGTGTATTTAAAGAATAAATATGATTATTTGATTAACGTGTATCTCCCCTACTACACGGGAAGCTCCACTAAGGCCAGGATGGTATCTGATTAGCTCATCTCTTGCAATCTCAAACAGTGCCTGAGACCTAGTAGCTCAACAATTGTTTCCTGAATGAATGAGTGAATGTCCACTGTCTAATCTATACCGTCAGTGAATAGGATCATGATCCAGCTTTGAGGACATGATAGTCTGATTATGAATAAAGTTATGCACACCAGACACCTGGCCAAGAAAAGTTCCAGCTGAAATTACTGCTGGCCACCTGGGCTTCATGCAGGGGAAATTAACTGTTGCCCGAGTAGTTAAGAGTCCCCTGTGGCCATGCCAAGTCAGTAGAGATGTATCTGTTTAGATTATATATTATTCTTTTACACTTTTTAAAAAATTAAAGTATTCTTGAGGTTGTCATGTCAAGTTTGAACGCTTGTGTGCGAATTAGTTGGTCCTATATTTTTTCTTTAGGGGTAGCACTGAGAAAGAAGTCAAAAAGGAAAGATTAAAGGACGCCTGGGTGGCTCATTTGGTTAAGCGTCTGCCTGCTTTCAGCTCAGGTCATGATCCCAGGGATCCTATCAAGTCCCATATCGGGCTCCTTGCTCTGTAGGGAGCGTGCTTCTCCCTCTTCCTGCCGCTCCCCCTGCTTGTGCATGCACCCTCTCTCTGACAAATAAATAAATAAAAATCTAAAAAAAAAAAAAAAGGAAGGAAGATGAAGGTCATCCAGAAATCATCCTGGCCCAAAAGCAGTGATCATAACTCTGCTCTGGACCATGGAAAGTGGAGGCCAGAAATGGGTGGAGAAATAGCGCCCCCTGGTGGTTTTGCTAGCGTGCAGGCGGGCCCTGCAGCCTGGACTGGCTCAAACAGGACCAGATGTGGAGTAGTAGCTTGAGGACAAATTTCGGGCACGTTCCTGAGGGTGTGGTAATCATTCCTTCCCCTGGAAACCATCGGCACTTACCTGAGCAGCAAAGAGCTTAGCACCAAAAAAAGGCCATTTCCGGGCCACTGTCAGGTAGATGCGGATGCACTCAGGAGGGGAGCAGCCTTGCAGGGCTGCCCACTTTGTGGTCAGCAGATCTGCCAGGTGCCTGGTTTGGATGGATGGAGAGAAATGGATCAGTAAGATGCCAACAGGTTTTCACTGCAGCTCTGAGGCCATCCAGCCCCTGCCTCCCCACAGCAACTCCCTCCGAGACCTTGCAGCCTACCTCAGCTGTTCAGGGGGTGCCCCATGTCTGTAGCGCCTCGGGTAGAACCTGTCCAGGACCTGCTGGAGGTGATGCTGAACCTTGGCAGGGGGTGTGCTCCCAGGGCCTGGAGGGCTGGGCCTCTCTAAGTCCCCATATTCTACCTGGGTTGGAAGCACATGGAAGAAGCAGTCAAGAATCCAAAGGTGGGTGGGGTGGGGCTGGGGCTGCTGGAGAGGTGACATAAACCATCACTTCATCACTTCATTGATGGGGTGTGGATGGATGTGAAAACACTTTCTGTGAAGAGACCCTTCATCTCAAGTTTCACAGACACTAGAGAAACCGCCTTATGGTCCTCGATTATTATTTACATCCACTCTCCTCTTACAGCGGGGGTTAAGTGCCTTATCCAAAGACACAGTTAATTAGTGACAGGCAAGGGAAAACTATGGATCTTCTGGCTTCTAATCCAAACATATGAGATCCAGAACTGAAGATGCTATAGATCCTAGAGTATTGCAGTGTTCCAAATGTGGCCTTTGGAATCACACCCGGCTCAGATCCCAGCTCTGCCATCTGCTGGCCTGGTAACCCTGAGCAAGTTATTTAAATTCTCTGGGCTTCAATTTCCTCATGTGGGGATAAGAACTAACTGGGATAATACATATAAAATACTTAGCAGAGAACCCTCTATGGAGTATTCAGCAAATGTTTATTATTATAAAGGTCAACTATTATTTCCCCTTCCTCTCCAGCATGTAGATTCAGGCCCTCCTCTCTCATGGGAACCCCGAGGGCATCCCAGATACCTCTGGCAAGACAGCCTCCTAAAGGTAATAGGGAGAAGAGTGGAAGTCCAAATGTACGTTCCTCTTCCTGATTCTACTTACAATGTTTTACAGTTGTAAGTACAAATCTTACCACATCTGTTCTGCGATATACATCATTTCAGTAGCATACTGAAGTACATGGTACAACCCCGTGGGGGAGGGCAGGGAGGCATTTTTGTTTTCGGTATACAGAGAAGGAAACTAAGGCAGAGACCACCGCAGTGACTTGCCAAGATCTCACGGTGGGAAGGTGGCCAGTGCTCAAGGGCAGGCCTCTGCATTCCATGTCCAGAGTTCTGCATGTAATCTCTATCTGCAGTGAAGGGCTGTGATGGTGAGGAGTCAGCTTCCCTCCACAGCCAGAGACAGCCAGGCCGCCCTCCCCTCGGGCACCGCAGGGTCTGCGGTCTCCTGTTTCAGGCTGTGTGCTACATGCCCCCTGTGAGTCCAAAGATGGTGCCCTGATCCTCCCAGTTCCTGAACAGAACCTTACCTGGGCCATCAGGGCAGCCATCTCAAGAGCCAGCTCCTTGTTGACAGGAAACCTCCCTGCCACTACCTCCCCGCTAGTCTGGGACGCCAGCAGCAGCCGCTCCCGCTCCGTCTCCCCTCTGACCTGACTCCGAAAGTACAGCCTGCAGGGAAGACGGCGAGAAGCAGCCAAGACTCAGCTGGGATCCCAAATGGATGAGGTCATCTTGGCATCTGTTTATCTTGATTTCCAAAGAAAGAAACTACTCTTTTTATACCATCTGTGAGCCTATTTTCTGTTGCCTCCAGAAAAATTTAAGCACGACCCAGGGCCGACACAGGGCCGTGAGCGCTCACAGCAACAGCGGCCCGCAGTACACCTGACCGCACCACTGCCCTGCTGGGTCTGCTGAGGGGGTCTGCTCCCCGGAGCCACAGCCTCTCAGGGAACTGGAGGAGTTCAAGATGCCAAGAGAATACTGGAAATCATGTGCCTGGAGACAGACCTGGGATGGGATTTTCTTATCTAAATGGACAAAAAATCATGGTATCTACTTCTGTATTTGCTGGAATTGTTACAGGAGCTATTTATTCTTGAGCCTTAAATATCTAGCGCTCATACAAAATTTCACTCTTCTAATGGAACCCGTGCAGCCACCCCACAAGGGTGGTCCGTTTTCCTGGCAGGTGTGTGTGTGTGTGTACATGCAGTTCAGGGACCAAGAGCCTGAGCTACCCAGGGTCTCACCGAGGATCACCAGAGCCAGCCTGGGCCACCACCTACTGCCCACAACACAGTGCCGTCTGTGGACGCGCTCTCTGCCCGGCACAGGCCCGAGGGTGCGAGTGATGGGTGCCCCCCTCCCCCTCCCCTCGGGCGGCGCTCGGGACCTGTTCTTGTACATCAGCTTCACAACACGTGTGCCACCCTCGGCCTTGCCAGGGTGCAGCTCCTTCAGGGCTTGCTCCCACTTGGAGATGGCATCACAGATCTGAAACAGGCAGGAGAGGACAGTCAGAAAAGGCCCTGAGGAGGGGTACAGGTCCCACCGGGGGCAGGACCCAGGGAGAGCAGCAGGGCAGAGTCAAGTGACTGTCCTCCATTAGGAGGCTGCCGTGCAGGCCTCACGCGCCTGGGACCAGAGCTGTCTTACAACGACCCCCCAGACAGAGCGGTAGAGCCCTGGGCATGGCGTGAGTAGAAAGCCTGAGATGCTGCCCCCCATTGGCCTTGACACCTGAGGGGGCCTCCCCAGAGGCTAGGCAGGCCTCCGTCAAAAACCGTGGCCTCCTATCACCAGCTCCATTTCCCTTCCACCGACCACTATTCTCTTCAACAAGTACACCCGGAGGCCTGCTGTGTAACTGAGCCTTACAGACACGCAGACGTTTACAAAGAGGACACGCGTGCAGTAGTTCCGGGAACGGTAAAGGACTGGAGGAGCCTTTGTCCTGTTGCCATAGGAAGAACAGACACGGAACCAAAACCCTCATACTCATCAACACCACAACACGTTCCCACAAACACTTAACATCCCCCATGGCACTAATCCCAGACCACAGACAAGATAGGTCTTAAATCCCATTCAAGGGCCTTTCACTTGTAGACGCGCCACATAGATCTACCTGCTTAAAATGTGGTTGAACCTGTAAGCACGGCAGAGGCCCTGGCACCCAGGGCAAGAATGAGGTGCAGTGCACAACACATATCAGCAGGTCCAGGGGGATGGCCGTCTACCTCTGCGTGTGTATAGGGGCAAGAGCCTCCCTGTCCTTCCTACACCAAGCTGAGAAGCAGCTTTTCCCCTGGATACTGCACAGCCCCTCGAGGGCGGGGGTGGGGGATATGGGGATATTCTCTCCAGAGACAAGGGCAAAAACAACTTTTCTCTGCCTGTACAGGTAGGTTTTCGGATGACACAGATTCTGGCCAGGGGAGCACCTTGGGCTCCCAACCTAACAGTCTGTGGAATAGGAAGGCACCCACCAGAGGGGCTCTTTCCCCACCATCCAAACCCTGAAGCCTGGAGGTATCCCAGGAGGGGCTCAGTCGGCTCAGTGGGGAGGCCATCACCTTGATGCTCCCCTGCAGGCAGTGTTCCAGGTCTCTGCCGGAAGGATCGTCTGTGAAGAGGGCAAAGCCAGAGTGGGAGGACTTCCTCATGCCGGTCTCTTGGTTCAGATGCTGGAGGAACTCATCAACTGTGGAGGAGCCATCAAAACCGACCACCTGCACGGGAGAGGGGTTAGTCCCAGAGGAAACTTCCGGAGAGGAGCTCGTTAGGGCTAGTGGAGGACTGTGAGTCTGGAAGGTGGGAAGGCTTGGCTGCAAGGAGCAAGGGCAAATGCAAAAGCCGAAGGAAGCTGGTTTCCCTGGTCACGTGCAGAGGGTGCATGCTTCAGGGACAAGCCCGCCCGCTGTAAGCTGGCGTCAGCAGCTCTGCTGCCCCTTTGCCGCCACGCTTTTGGAGGCCTTTGGTCCCGCCACTTTCTCGGTCAATGTCTCAGCTTCCCTGTTCACGCAGTGGCTTCGAAAGATCTACGTCCCAGGTGCCAAACAGTGAAGCACTTTTGCAATTCAAGCTCCTTTCTCCCTCCACACGAAGTTCATGGTCCCACCCCCACCTCCAAATCCCAGGCCCACCCTTCTGCTGGTCTGCCTATTAAGAAGCTGCCAAGCTGGGCGCCTGGGTGGCTCAGTCGGTTAAGCGACTGCCTTCGGCTCAGGCCATGATCCTGCAGTCCCTGGATCGAGTCCCGCATTGGGCTCCCTGCTCAGCCGGGAGTCTGCTTCTCCCTCTGACCCTCCTCCCTCCCATGCTCTGTCTCTCATTCTCTCTCGCAAATAAATAAATAAAAAATCTAAAAAAAAAAAAAAAGAAGCTGCCAAGCCTAAGGAGGTTTAGCACCCACCTGGCCCAAAGGTGTTCTCTGGGCTAGGGATAGGAGAGGACCAAGGACAGGGAAGCCAGCGCGGCCTCCTCACCTGGTAAGTCCCATTGGCGAAATGCACGGGGATGCTGAAGGGTGAGGAGTGGTGGAAGGGGTTGCGCAGCAGGATGGACACCACTTCCATGCGGGACGGCCTGGCCTCCCGCTCCCCAGTCTGCAGCGTCCGCTCCACAGCCCGTTGGCAGTAGGCGGCATACTGGCCAGTTTCATTTCTAAAGAGACAGGGGGAAGAAAGAAGATCCCAGAGAATCCACTCAGCCCTGCTACCTTGACCCCTTGGCCGCTGACCCTGACCCAGCCGAGACCCCATCTGCAGCGGGGCCGGTGGTGAGAAAAGCCCCGAATGCTCCCTGGTCTGCAGTGTTCATCTGTCTTTCAGGGTCTATCTGCTGCAAGTGGCTCACACAGATATTTTCTCCAGAAGCCAGAAGAACGGGGCCACAGACCATGAAAATGTGGGGATGATCTGGGGACACCCACAAAGCATGCATGCGTACACGGACTGTTGTGCAGAGCCACCCAGGCATGGCCAGACTCCACGTGCCCACTCCGGTACACAGCGACGAGCGAAGTCTCCGTGACCGCCGTGCCAGCCTCAGGGGCAGGGTGGCCTGGTCCCTCCCAGTCTGGCCCCCCCCGCCCCCGGGGCCCTCTTCCCCATGCACGGGCAGCGGGAAAGGACGCTCACGCACCTGGGGTCCGCGTGGCGCTGGAGCTGCTGTTTGACGTACCAGAGGAAGTGGTGCTGAGGCAGGAAGAGTGGGGCGCACAGAGCCAGGAGCTGCCAGCACTGTGGGAGCACAGGCAGCATGGGGCGGGTGCTGGCTCTGCAGCCCGCACAGCCCTGAGCTACCGAGCCCGCAGCACTCTCCAAACCAGGGCTCCCCCCCCAACCCTCTGTGGCCGCCAGGATGGCCAACCTGGTCACGCTTCGTCCATCACACGATCCGACCAGGCACAGCCGTACGGAGGCAGCCCACGGGCTACCGCGCTTAGAGCGTGCCTGCCCAGCCCCCTCCGTCCACCTTCCTGCCCCCCCACCCCCCTGCAGTCCCCCCCGTGGCTCCAGTCGGCTGCTTGCCCCGGGGCTGCTCACCTGTATGAGAGAGCACTTCTGAGGCGGGCGGCAGCTGGTCTGCTTCATGAGCTGGCAGTAGATCTCGCTCTGCAGCTCGGGGTGAACCAGGCAGACCTGCAGGGCCGTCTGGGCCAGAGACACGTGGTAGTCCACCGAGGCTGCTTCCACGGGCACGTTGATGAAGAGCTGGCAGGACTGGCCGGGCAAGGATGGTGGGCACGGGCAGACCCACAGCCCCTCGGTTAGTGTCCTTGGTGACAGTGGGCAGACCGGGCCTCTGTCCCCCCAGGGCCGTCCCCCCAGGGCCGCTCTGGTTCACCTTCTAAGAGGGAGGACTGCCACTGCCTGAGGGCGTCTGTGCCCGCTCCTTTGGGATAAGCATCCTGCCTTCTTTAAACGTGTCCGTTACATAAGCAAGACATCCATTTTTTTAAGAGAATATTCAGATGGACACAAAGTGGGTCAGACTCTCTCAGGTTCAGAAGCAACCTAAACCTGGCCCTTCCTGCTGTTCACTCCAGGAGGAGGGGAGTGCCTCAAAGGGAGTCTCATTGGCTCTTCCCCAGGAAGCCGTGAACGCCTCCCCGCCGTAACAGGCCGCGGCGAGGACATGGGGGGACTCTTTCCCTTCCACTCAGATCCCTCTGTGAGCTACCCCTACCCGCACGGGTTCCAGCCCGGCATCCCATGGTGGGCAAACTGCTCCAGGGAGAGCCTGGCCCACAGAGAGGGGGCACCTGCTGGTGGGCCTGCGCTCCGTTTCCATTTTACCTTGAAGAGCTTGAGAGCCTCCGTCTGCAGGGCCTCCGAGGGCAGGGTGGTGAGAGAGCTGTACAGCCCGTCCTTGCTGTAACACAGCATGGGGTGCCTCCAGAGAGGGGAATCTGCCCGAACCACAGCACCGAGAGCGGAAGCGGTTACTGCTGGTGAGGGCACTTGCCTCCTACCCCCACCCCCTCCTGGATCTGTGAGGAAGACAAGGACGGACTGTCCGGGCACAGAGTGGCGCTGGGTTTATACCCACAGAGGGTGGGGCACGCAGGGCACCCCTGCCTCTAGCATGCTCACAAGCGTGGCTCACAGGAAGTGGCTACTGCTTTGCTTGCAGGGCAGCAACAGGGGTGAGTACGTGTGCTGTGGGTATCTGAGCACAAGCGTGTGTGCGCAGGGCGGTCCCTCCCTGCGGGGTCGGGTCTGGATGGAGAGCGCACATCAGCCTGACGTCGGCAAGTCTCGGGGGCGCAGGGAAGGGGTGTGTGGCGTGTGCCGTTAGTTCCTCGGGGTCCTGAGGATCAGGAGCTAACACCCCACGCTTGGGATAGTCTAATCCCAATGAAGGCTTCGTTCATGAGTTAAACTCTTACAATGCGCCAGCTACCTTCTTTCCTCAACCCTTGGCCCAGCCGGCAAACCCAGAGTGAGCGAAGTAAAACATTGACCTGGGTCACTGGAAAGTCTGTTCCCAAATCAACTCCCCCAGATACAGCCTGGTCACCTCAGTATCTTCACCAGAAACAGGGGCTCTGGAGCTCGGATGGGAATGTCCTTCTATGGCTTAGACGGTTTTAAAACAGCTTCGGGGTACAGAAATGCTTTCTTTGGGTTTCTGACCAACCATCACCCAGCCACCACCCTCCAACCCATGCAGGGATGGCCCCCCTTGCCTTACCTGGGTCTCCCTCCCCGTCCATCAGTTTTCCAATGAGCTGCTCATAGGTAGTGCCGACCCGAGCACTGCTGCCCCCTGCAGCCACGGTGAGGTGGTACAGCCACGTGTCCTAGAAGGGGATGGAAGCCATCTGCGGAGACTGGAGTGGGAAAAATGGAGACGAGGGCTCCGGAGAAGTTTCCTTGAAGGGGCCAAGCCCAGGGTGAGCCTAGGCTAGTCTGGTTGGCACAAGTCAAGGCCACCAGTCTCTAAGAGGAAAGACTTGCGATCAGGCAACACGAACCCAAGTTTCTAAGCTTGAGGCACTATCTCATGGTCCCAGTGGAGAGACACTGGTCCCTGGGAGGGAATTCACTATAAGGAATAGTCCCAATCAGGGAATGCTAGTTGCCAAAATGTCCAGGAAGGAAAGAAACTTGAATCTGGGGAGGTTGGGAAAGAGAGAAGGGAAGATGGGAATCACAGGACAGAGCTAGGCCATGGAGGCCCAGCCCCCTCGCTTACCATTTCATGCTTGGTGCCAATGAGGAGGTAGGTGGGGCTGTGCTCTGGGGGGTGGATCGCCAGGGTGCGGTGGGAGGAGAGCAACCGCCGGCTTCCTCCAGCCTCGTAGTCCTCGTCTGAGTCACAGGATCGATCTACTTCCTCTATGCGCGCGTCCCGCACAGGCAGATGGCCCAGGGGTCGCTGTGGACAGGAGCGTTCCATGAATGGGAGAGCCAGCAGCGAGCAGGGCAGCCTCCTCTCTCTGAACCCTCAGGCCCTGTTGGGCTGGGAATCATGGATGTGGTCGGGTCATGGAATGAGGGGGGTTAACTACAGCTCCCTGGCTGAGGCTTGCCTGGAGAAGCACAGACAGACCCTACGGGTAGAATCTGTGGGCCATGCACACTGGCCATTCAGGCTACAGGGACCCAGCCAGCTCTGTACATTTGTGGTGGCATGAGGTGGGGTCAACAGAAAAGCTGGGGCCTTCCATCAAGGACATGGAGCCACAGGAATGTGGTCTAGGGAAAGCAGAGAGTGGGTGCTGTCAGGAAGCCAGGAAGTACCTTGTCCTCATGACTTCGATAGTAGTAGAAGGTTCTCCCAACAAGAGCACACCAGACCAGCTTGGAATGGCCATGTTTTACCTATAAGACAGAAATTAAGACCAAGTGATTAGAACCAGGTAATCCCAGAAGTAAATCCAGGACTGCCAAAGAGAAGCCAGAGGAAGGCAGGTCTCAGAACCCCTGGTCAAACTCAGGTCCTTAGTGGAGATGCCACCCAGGTGCCCTACTAACAGGACCGGCCCTTTCACATGGAGGGTCCGTGGCGTGTACCCTGTGACACCCCATCCATCCTTGCACCACACGCCATTAAAAGATTAACCAGGCCAATCAGATGTCCTGTCCCAGGAATACGGACACAGCTGTAAGGATGCTGAGGAGGGGGGGCAAGGCCATGCATGGGGGGCTAAAGCCCCCGGACAAACGTAAATCACGAGGGCACAGCAGGTGCACAAAAGGGGAGGAGACTGACTCAAGCACAGACTGAAAGTGGAGGCAGAGAGAGAGCCAAGAGCACCGAGCTCGCTCATACAAGTGGCTTTGCTTCCTCATGGCATTCTGGCCTAGTTCATGTGCTTCCTTGTTTACTTCCCTTTTCTTGAGGATAACAAGTACTTCTCTGCTCCTTATAGCCAGAAGAGTCCTAACTCAAACACCTTTAGGGCAGGCCTGGCATCTGACGTCTTTGAGTGGCCACACCTGCCTCGCCTACCTCACGGCTTCCCACTATTCATACTGAGGCACGGTGGGCGCAGGTGGGGGTGGGCAGCAACTCCTAATAACTCCTAATAACTCCTAATAACCTCAAAATAGGTCCTTTCCCTCCTGTCCTGACAACAGCTGTGGTGCTCACAACCCTGATCTCTGTGTTCACTCACTGACACTCTGAGTGGTCAGACCGTGTTTGAGGCCCATCCGCCAATCCCATGAGCCAAGTCCTGCAGACGGGCTGTAAGGAGGGCCGCACTCGGGCGCCTAGGGCTCCCCAGCCTCTCGGGGGGCCCGCGGTCCTCCTCGCCAGCCCCTCTCCCACCTTGGTCGGCCAGCCTAGGGCTCCCCAGCCTCTCGGGAGGCCCGCGGTCCTCCTCGCCAGCCCCTCTCCCACCTTGGTCGGCCAGCCTAGGGCTCCCCAGCCTCTCGGGAGGCCCGCGGTCCTCCTCGCCAGCCCCTCTCCCACCTTGGTCGGCCAGCCTAGGGCTCCCCAGCCTCTCGGGAAGCCCGCGGTCCTCCTCGCCAGCCCCTCTCCCACCTTGGTCGGCCAGCCTAGGGCTCCCCAGCCTCTCGGGAAGCCCGCGGTCCTCCTCGCCAGCCCCTCTCCCACCTTGGTCGGCCAGCCTAGGGCTCCCCAGCCTCTCGGGGGGCCCGCGGTCCTCCTCGCCAGCCCCTCTCCCACCTTGGTCGGCCAGCCTAGGGCTCCCCAGCCTCTCGGGAGGCCCGCGGTCCTCCTCGCCAGCCCCTCTCCCACCTTGGTCGGCCAGCCTAGGGCTCCCCAGCCTCTCGGGGGGCCCGCGGTCCTCCTCGCCAGCCCCTCTCCTACCTTGGTCAGCTAGCCTAGGGCTCCCCAGCCTCTCAGGAGGCCCGCGGTCCTCCTCACCAGCCCCTCTCCCACCTTGGCCGGCCAGGCTAGGGCTCCCCAGCCTCTCGGGGGGCCCGCGGTCCTCCTCGCCAGCCCCTCTCCTACCTTGGTCAGCCAGCCTTTCACAGTGGGTTTGGTGCCATCCCGCGGCGGGGCTGGAGGCCCCACGGCCTGGACCTTCAGCAGGCTCTGCAGTACTCGGATCCACTCCTCCAGCAGGCCCGGTGAGTCCGCCGTCAGGTAATAGGTTTTCTGCTCAGAGATAAGCTGTGGAGGAGGGATTGGAGGCGGGGGCGGGGAGATGGCAGGATGGCATGCCAGGGACCGGGCTCTGAGGTGGCACAGATCCCTGAACCCACTGGGCCTTCCTTCTTCCCACCCTGGGACTCCCTCCCTTCTTTCCCTTGTTCTCTTCTCCCCGTCTCTGCTACCTTCACTCTGTCTCACACATTCAGTCTCTTCTTCCCTCCTCGTACTCACAAATTAGAGTCACGTCCACACGTCTCTAACACATGCTCATTTTGCCCCAGCTTTGCTTCCATCCTAGTCCTATCCAAACCCAGCACCTCTTTGTCCAAACTGCTGGCTGGTAAGAGCCTGCCCACCTGGAATGTCTGTGCACCTTCCCCTCGAACAATTTGGCAACGGGAATTCAGTTCCACTTGACCCTGAGGTTTCCGGATGACATCACTCTGTAAAGACAAGAATGGGGAGGAACACGGTAGGAGCCTTCCCAGAGCACATCATTCTCCCTCAGATCTTAATCCAGGCCACAGGCGAAGGGGAAAGTGATGCCCAAGCTTTCCTGGGCTATGGTATGATGGGTAACTTGTTCTGGATCCTAGTTCTAGCTAAATGGAGCAACGATTAGAGACATGGGTCTGACCCAGGCCTCAAAAAGTACAGATTGAGCCTTTAACATTGGATCAGAAGCCACCATGTTATTACTGAGCTATAAAGCCTTTAAATTCTTTCTACTACATCCTTTACACCAAGTGTGGCAAATAAGTGGCATACACATCACCATTCCCCTTCCCAGTGTGCCCGCACACCTTACTTATCAGCCAGAGCATGCCCACTCACTGAGTGATACGGGCCCGGAATCCAGACACATGGCCTTTTCGCTTTCTTTATACCATGAATGTTGGTTCCCCAAGGAGGTCCTGCCAAACTAGATCTCAACATCCAAGGCTCCCTAATTCCAAACTGTACAGGAAGGAGGTGGAGGAGGTGATGGGCTCTCTGTTAGAACAACCCAGATGATGTGAGGACAACCTGGGAACAATTCTTTTACGGGACCAGGAATTCAAAGAAGTCAACTTCTGAAGTAAGAAGGAATCACCAAGCCAACTCATCTAGAACTGCCTTTCCCTGCTCTGTGCCTGATTTCACTCCAAGAACCAGTGACCAGCCTCATGGTCCCATGTGAGGCTCAAAGCCCCCGGTGCCCAGCCAGGCCGCCTCTCCCCACCTGCCAGACCTCTGCCCTCTGGCCGTGGGCCCCACCGACCCTTCTTCTAGCCCCTCCTGCACAGTTCTGAGTTTGGGCTGGGGTCCTTTTGACTACTGTCCTGGGGGAGGAGGGTCTCACCGGGGACTTGTAGTACATAATCTGTCCCTGTCTCAGGACAAACCAGCGCCTCTTCCACGTCTTCACCCGGCTCCCCAGTTTTAGCAGGTAGCCTGACTTCTCCAATGACTCCTGCAGGGGTGAGAGAGTACGGGGCGGGGAGGGAGAGGAGTGGACAGAAAGGGGGAATCACTTGGGGTTTGTAGACGTCATACAAGCCAAAATGGCCCCGTTGAGTTACTGCTTTGTTGTCAATTAAAAACAAATTCTTGAGAAGCTACTAGATGTATTTTCAGGGCACCATGCCCTGCTAAGGGTTCAGAAAGAACTAGCATAAAGCAAGGTGGCCCCGTCAGGGGCTGCATGAGGGAGAGGCTGGTCAGGGAGGGCGTCCCGAAGAGCCAGACCAAAATGGCCTTGGAAGGAAAAGTCAGCTTCCCTTCAAAGCCACGCCAAGGGGAGGAAAAGGCCATGGTAGGCAGCAGGAAGGGAGGGGGAGGTTTGGGGACAAAGGGACACATCAGCCAGGCTGGGGCAGAGGGCTGGGGAATGAGGGATGTGGGTTTGCAGCACGGCTCTGAGCCTCGGGCTTCTTATCCAGAAAATGGGGTCCTCATCCTGAGAGGATGGTGAGGACGCGTGAGACAAGGCATGAAGAGTACTGAGCACGGTGCGTGGTACTCTGTAAGAACCCCGTAAATGTCTGCTCTCAGCATTCCAGGGTGAGAACACATGGAAACGTGTGGGGCTGGTGGGCCGCCATGGGAAAGCCCACTGGCTACTCCCGGTTTGATGAGGAGCTCACTGGGTGCCCTCTCCTTCCTCACAGGGTCTGTGTGTACCAGACTTGGGACCTGCCCGTCCCCCAGCCCACTCCCTGGCGCCTCGCACCTGTCATGGCCCCCCTGCCCCCGCCTTCACCATGCCCCAGGACCCCTCGTCTCAGGCTGAGGGCTCCAGGCAGGCAGCCTCTGCTGGAGGCCGGCTCGCATCCTGCCTGGCTCACCCCGCCCAGGCCGGGCCACTCGGCGGAGTAGGACGAGGTCCGCTGCAGTTTGTGCTCTGGCTCGGAGTAGTCGCTGTCCAGCGAGCAGGCATCCGGGGGGATGGCGTAGTCACCTTCCGAGCTCAGCGAGGACATGGAGACGCCTGCCAAGGGAGGAGGAGTCAAGGCCTGGGTCCCAGACCTCCCCAGCTTACACAGCCTAGGAGCTGCAGGAGCCTTCCTCACCGACCCCGGGACCTCTGAGTCTGGAGCTGAGGGTCATGGGCAGAGATTAAGCAGGGGGCCCTGGATAAGCCCGCCCATGGGAGGAGGAGAGGGGCTGCTTGCTGCCCTGCACCTTCCTGCTCCCTCCCCTGTACCTCTCTTGATGGCCCGGGGGCTGCCCAGTCCGCTGGTCTTCCTGGACTCAGAGCAGGGGACCGAAGTTCGGAAACTCGCCTGAGAGCTGCGGTCATCATCGGACCCAGAGGATTCGTCCACAAAAGGCACGGTGCTGATCTGCGTGGCTCTCTGCAAGACAGGCGCCCTCCCCCACTGCAGCTCACCTTGCAGAACATGGCCCTTCCTGTGGGCACTGGTACTCCTGCTCCTGGGGCCCGGGGTGTGGCCAACATGGCCTGTCGGGGCACATGGGTGCCATCATCTGCCTGGGACACTCCAGACAACTGTTCTGTCTCCACCTTACTCTCGTGTCCTCACCTCCATCCTTCTCCTTAGGCCTCCCGCCCCCCACACGCCATCCTCTCTGGTCCCCAAAGGACCTGCCCCATCCAGGCCCAGTACGCGGCTGCTGTGACCCTTCCTCCTGCCACTAGGGGGCCAGAATGCCCTGCGGGCCAAGCCCGAGACAGGCGCTTTAAACGTAGTATGCCCATAAGGAAACAGGCCATCTCAGTTGGCAAACATTTAAAAAGACTACCTCAACAGTTGGTTAAAGTGTGGGGGAAAAGATACTCTGTAGCGTGATAAAGGCTTTTAGAAGGTAACGGCACTACCTGCCAAAATTTACGACATGACTATTATTCGCCCATAAATTTCCCCTCTAGAACTCTGTCCTCTGGAAATACACATACATGATACTTAAGTGCACAGAGATGTGTTTGCGCAATGATGTTCATCACAACACTGACTGTAGAGAAAAACAGAGATAGGACCTAAACTGTCCATCAGTGGAGGGCGGGTTAAGGTAGTTATGGGGCATCCACACCAACGGGTCCCGGACGGCCCTATAAGAGGAAGCGGAGCTGTGCACGGAGGTGCGGCCGGGAGATCGGGCTCATGGTCGTGCGAACAAGCAAGGGGCGGAAGGACATGTATGTTATGATCCTCGTTGGGCATGAGCACGGGTGTGTGCGTGCGTGCGTGTTTGTGCGTGTGCGTGAGAGAGAGACAGGAACACGGACACGGACACAGACAGTATCTGTCAGTACACTGGTAAATGCATGAGAGAGCCTCACAGAATAAACACCAAACCATGAATGACAGTTGCCTCCGGGGTTAGAAATTAGGGAAAAGCAATGTGAAAGAAAATTTCACTTTTGGCTCTTTGATTCTTCTATAAAAAGTTTTACAAAGTATTAACTGTTTTGGCCGCAAAAACCAGTAACAAAAGGAGACAAAAATATGTATGCAAACGTTATGTTGCAGTTACAGCTGATTTTTGTTAAAAAATAGAGATATGTAACTAATGTAATATCGTGTGCCAACTAATACCCAAAGAAAAATACGCAGAGATATTATGAGAGTATACATGGGAATATGTGTTTGAACACGTATGAAATACTCTGGAAGGAGTCCTCCCAGGACAGACATGTAAAAAGATGGGGAAGACAGGTGAAGCAGGGGTAGGTCTAACATTTAACTTTTCACTTTGCCCACGATCATATGGATCCAAATTTTTGTAAACATACAATTTTTATAATAAAAATCTAATAAATACTAAAAATAAAATGACATATAAATGGTAGCTGAGCTCCCTGCCCAGAGTCCTGTGTGTGCAGAAGCCTGACCCTAGAGCCCCACTGGAGCCACTACATGGACAAGGGGCCTCCTGGATGGAACACCCCCACCACAGACAGCAGCTTCTTACCCCCTTCAGGGCTGTGTAGACAGGCACGGTGACATTCTTGTAGACAAGGCCAGAGAAAGGCCCAGGGGACGCAAGGGCAGGAGGGCTTGAAGCTGGAGGGGGTGGGGAAGAGGGATGAGATTAACTCAGGTGCCATAACTCACTCAGGGGCCTGTGGGAGGCAGAGACCTGGGCACACTGAGGAGATCCACGCAGATAGTGTTCCCTGAAAGAGCACTCCAGGTGACAGGTGGGGTGGCTGTCCTTAGGATGGGGGCCAGGGACTTCTTCTGTCCCACTCTTGCGAAGGTGAATTACGAACCGTGAGACTCTGGAGCTCACATCACAGGGGATTCAGTGGCGGGCCAGCTGACTCAGAAGCCAGAGGGTAGGGATGCGGTTCCTTCAGGGAGCTCATCTAAATCAAGGCACTGGGGAGCTCTCCCACCCCCAGTACTGGGCACTACAGACTGGAAGCCAGTGCAGGTGGGAGGCTGAGCTGGAGGGCCCCGCCTCTAAGGTCCCTTCCAGCTCTGTAATTGGCTACAATCCTGTTAAAGGCCACGCCCACCCTGTAAGTGATGAGCGAAACATGCACAGCTTCCTTTTCCCTCCTAGGTAGCCCGGCTGCGTGATTTCACTGAACTCACCTGTTGGGGGAGGGAACGGGGTGCTGAGTGACACTGGCCCTGGGTGTTGCTAAGAGTCTTCTCCCTGCATGCCCACCCTGTCCAGCATGTGGGGCTCACTTGGGACTCACCGCAACAGGAGGCATTAGTTCTGGGAGATGCATCTGAGAGCCTCATGCCAGCCATGGCCACAGCATAGATCCGGCTCTCCTGGAATGGAAGGTCCCAGAGGGTCAGAGCGCAGCACAGAGCCTAGCCCAGCCTCTCCTCAGTGTGGAGGGAGAAGGATGGCTGTGGACGCAGGTCCACATCCAGCCTTGGCCAATTACTGCTGGAGTAATCCTAGGCAAGTTACATCTGAGTGTCCTTTTCCTCAGCGCTAACGTAGGGGTAATGCTCACCTGTCAGTAAACATCTGACACCTGGAACATAATCAGCATCCAACAGACAGGCATTCCTTCGCTTGCCTCCACCCTTCCGTTGGGGCAAGGAAGTTCAAGAGGAGGGGGTCAGTGACCTGTTTCTCTGAATCGTACCCATTTTAGAGGCCCTGGGTCTCAGGCTCTCACCCCTCAAAGCTGGGGTGCTGATAATAAGGAAGTGGGAGCCCCGTGGCAAGGGCATGCCCTTTTGTAAACCTGTTGTTTGGAAACTGGGACACAGTTTTTTCCTACAGTAACAACATGATGTTCATGGTTAGGCCCAACCTGCAAAGCCTGCCTAAGCTCACCCAGGACCCTATACCCTGCTGTAGAAGACACATGGACGAGAACCCCATCCTCAACTCCTCCCTGACCCCTTGGGATTCCTGGGTCTGAAGCAGGCCCACAGGCCTAGGGAGCTTTTCTAATGGGTTTGATCAAACAACCCAGAGGCCCCGCAGGTACTTTTCCCATCTCTTTTCTCCACTCAAAGTAAAGGGGAAAAAAAGACCCCCTCAGGGGACAGGGGAGTCGCAAGGACTAGGGCAGGTGGGTCTGGTTGGCTCAGGGAGGCAGTGGGGCTGGGGGGGTGCTGGAAGGGCTGTGGGGTGCTACTGGGGTGTCCCCCAGAAGGGAGCAGCAGCTCTGGGTACGTGGGGGAAGGAGGGCTGGGTGGGACCTCCCCTGAGCTGAGCGGAATGGTGGGAGGTAAGAGATAGAGGAGCAGCGAGGAAGGGGGTCCCAGGAGGGGATTATTCCTGCTAGTGCTGATCATGGAATTCAACCACGGTCAGGCCTCTAACTTCACAGAGGACATGCAAGTGAAGCCTGAGGGATTTAGGCAAAACAGACGTGGGAGTGTTTCACAAAAGTTATCCACTGCCCAACTCACAAGGTTGCTTTGAGGATCACCCGAAAAAGGGCTCTGCACGCTCTGAACTGGCAGATCAGTATACCTGACTCCCTCTGACTGAGAAATGTCCTTCTCTCCTTTCCCAGTCTTGATTTCCCCTCAGATGGTCCCACCTGAGAAGAGAGGGTGGGCACCTATCGGAGTTTTTTTTTAGGAGCAAGTTGCAATGAGGATTGTGAACAGGAGACAACTCCCCCTTAGCTGGTATGGCCGATTGCTGGGTCCCGGGCCCCAGCTGAGAGCAGGGAGGGGCTGTGGGAAGACCCGACACCCTTCACACCTTCACCCCCACGGCTCAGCCGATGTCCCATAGGAAAAGTGTCGTCCGAAGCATCTTCTGTATTTATTCACTCCCTTTTCCCCTGGGTCTCTCTCCCCCTCCCCTCAACCCACACTCAACACGTACAGGCAGAACACAAGAACTCCTCGGAGGCATCATGGTGGACGGCTCTATTTTGGCCAAATGGCAGAAGTGAGCAGCACTTTTCTCCGGTACCACCTGCTGAGGCCTCCTGTCACATCCCTCACCCGAATGCTCCCTCACTGCCCACCTCTGCTTTAGGATTCGAGAGCGTTTGCAGTTACAACAATGAAAGAGAAGAGGGATGGTTCTGACGGTGGTCCAGCCTGGCCCGGCCCTTCCCTCCTTGCCGACATCCGCTCCACTGCTGCCCCGCCTGCCCCTTCGCTCCTTCTCTGCCCGCTGCCCCTCCACCTCACCCTTGATCTCTGGGAGGCAGCATCTCATGTGGCGTTCCCCTGACCCCAGAGCTTCAGGGACAGGGCAGCAGCAGCATAAGGCCTGAGGACCGGCCCGGGGAGACCTGCTAGGCCTCCCCCCTGCGGCCCCGCTCCCAGGCGTGGCTGTGTCTCCGGCCATCGGGCCCCCTTACGGCCATCAGGGCTGGTCAGCAAGCACTGCTAAGACATGGCCCATGTGCTTGTAGCGCTGAGGCTCCCCGGGCCGCCAGCATTACAAACGGAGCCCCTGGCAAGGTGCTGCTGAAAAGGCAGGTCTCCTGGGCAGCAGTGAAAATGAAAGGCGGTGTCGCCCTGAAGTACGGCCCCCAAGGACGCCCTCCCTGTGCTGCCAGGAGCCGGACACTCAGAGGTCTCCCACCATAGCAGCACCCGGGGGTCTGAGCACGAGGAAGAAGGGACATCTGCTCTCTGATGTCCCCCAAGAGGCAGTGCAGCCAGAAGGCTGGAGCCGGGTCTGGGGGCGGCGAGGCCCACCTCGAAAGCCCAGCCCCTCACGAGCTGCTCCATGGCCGCCGGCAAGGACGCAAGTCTGTGGAGACAGCACCTCTCGGCTCGCACAGACGCGGGGTCCTGCGCTCGTGCCGGGCCCTGAGCTACCCGTTCCACGCCCCGAATCTTGTCTCACCCTCCACACTGACCTGTGCAGCCTTATCCAGGTCCACCCACCCCCCAGTATCACGGAAAATGCCAAACAGACACAAAAGCGGAATGAAGAGAATAAAGAATGACCTCGCGTAGCCATCACCGGGCTCTGGCCTTGTTTCCTCGGTGTCCCCAACCCCAGATCCCTGATTCTGAGGCAGTGCCACTGGCCATCGTGTCCTTTGTCCAGTATTACAATAAGGAGGCGAAGGCTTGCAGGTAATGACAGCCAGCCCTTTCTGATTCTGTGAACCACGGCCGCAGGCACTCCCTGCCTGCTCGCTCGCTCCATCCTCGCAATGACCCGATAAAATACTGTCATCCCCAAGTCACGGATGGGGAACCGGGGCTCACAGGTGGAGTAACATGCTCAGGGTCACACAATCAGCAGTTGGACCCCAGTGGTTTGATTCGGAGACCTGAGCTCCGTACCAGCGCACCGCACAACCTCAGAGTCCAGAAGATTAGATGAGAAAATGTGCACCAAGCGCCCAGCTTGGTAGGTGGCGCACGCTCACGAAAGGGGAGCCAGCCACCGTGCAATCACTCCAAGTCACTGCCAGTCGGCCACGCGGCCCAGAGCCTCCTGGCGCGCTCCGTGTGAGTCTGTGCTCCCTGAGCCGCTCTGCCCCCTGCCCCCTCGCCCAGCAAACAAACTGCCTCTTACCCAGGATGGAAACCGGTGCAGGGGGGGCGTGGGGGGTTTGTTGCCCAAATCCACTTCCTCCAGCTCAGCTCTGGGGGCCTCCGGGCTCTCTCTCTCCTCCTTCTTCCCCGCTGGGGCTTGCTCCTCCATCTCCACGTTCTCTCCTTCCTCCCGGAGCTCGGCTCGGGCCTCGGCCTCAGGAAGGCTGGAGGGGTGGAGGGCTGAGAGGGTCCCAATCTCGATGCTCACCACGTGGTTGAAGCGCTCAGGGCCCACCTGGGGCTGGCTGTAGTGCCGCTTGACCAGCTGGATGCTGTCCCGGGGGGTGTTGGGGACCCGCACCTTTGGGAGCGTGAGGCTGCAGCCCGGGCTACCTTCCCTGGCAGAGTTCTTCGTCCCAGGGAGTGTCCCTCCCTGAGCAGTGACCAGGCCCTCCCCCCAGGAAGCCGAACCATGTCTGTGGGTGCGAGGCTTCATGCACAACCGGCGGGCAGAGCCCTCCCTTCCCAGATGAGGTGGAAGGGTCTTGGCCTCTATTTCCCCAGGATGGACCACGATGGAACTAGAATCCTCCAGGGAAATTCCTTCTTTAGGACCAGAGTCCTTGCTCTGCAGAGCACCTGGGGAAGGTGCAGGCAGAGAGGCCTTCAGGGCACCCTGGGCCTGGGGACCACTGTCCTGCCCTACCGGCTGCGCCCCTGGCCCTGAAGGGGCAGAATCCTGCTCTGGGGTTTCCTGGGCGGCCACCAGCAGCTTCCCCGAAGGTGCCATCTGAAGAGCTGTGGTTGGGGGGAAGAACAGGCAGAGTGAGAGCCCCCTCAATTCAGCGCACATCCTGACACGCACGCGCACAGCCTGTTCCGCTTACCTTCTAGAGCATCTTGGAGGGCTCCCACCTGCTCCACCAGGTGCTGATTACTGCTCTTCAGGTGCTGATTCTCCATCTCAAGCTGGGCAAAAAGGAAAATAAAGATTTAGAATACTTAGCCGACAGGTTCGGGCATATAATTCGAAACAAGATTAAAATCATTTTTAAAGATCAAATCTTTGAAAAAGAACACTTGGTGCCCCGGCAATCCAGGGCTGACCCTCCCAGGGAGCCCTGACCTACCCCCTTTCCTTTGTGCTAACCAGTTTCGGTTGGGATAGAATTCCATTTGGCAGCCCTGACACCTTCTCTTCTAAAATACCTTTTTTTTTTTTTTTAACTGTGAACTAGAATTCATACCCAGGAGACTGCATACCACATCGATGAAGAGCTTGGCAAATGACTCCGAAGTGAACGCTCATGTGACCACCACGCAGTTCAAGAAATAGGAATTTGCGGGCACTGCCAACAACCCTGGGCTCGCCCCTTCCCAGTCACACGCTTCTTCCTCCCCCGGAAGGCAACCACTCTTCTAAGTGTACCGGACTCCCTTCCTTGCTTTCCAGGTTTTATCATCCAGGCATGCATCCCCGCACACAGTGGCTCAGTTGTACCCATCTGGGTATAAATGGGATTATACAGTACGTACTTCTGGGTCTGGCTTCTTTAACTCAACACACTGCCTACAACACCCTCGTGCATGGTTGCTGTATTTTCTTCTGAAGGAAATCCAGCCCACTTTTTTGAGCACCTTTCAGCAAATATGGAGGCAGACCAGGTATGAGCTCTGCACCCCAAGAGCTCATAGTCTAGTAGGTGACAGGAGATGGGGAGGCAAAAAGACCCCATAACCCATGCAGGCATGAACCACTTGTGTCGGGATAGAGGAAGAGAAGTGGATGTTCGTTCTTTTCCAAACTTCAATTCCTTTCCCTTTTGTTTAGAAAGAGGTTGCTTTGCTTCTTGTTGCTAGTAGCATGGCAGCTTCTAGCCCCAAGCTTTCCTAAGTGAGGCCATAAAACTAGAGGGGGAAACAGGACGGCGGCTCTCGGGGGCTGGGGGATGAGAGATGGAGAGATCGGGGACTTAGTGAGTCCTGGGCACAGAGCTGCTGTCTGGGGTGACGGAAGTTTTGGAAACAGTGGTGGTGGCTGCACGACATTGTGAATGTACTTAATGCCACTGAATTGTACAGTAAAAATGGGGAAAAGGGTCAATGACACGTGTATTTGACCACCACCACGGAGACCAGTGGAGAAGAACGCAGAGGACGAAGGGCAAGTGCAGAGGGTGGATGCAGGGCGTGTGTGCTCTCAGGGCGAGACTGACGGGGCGCCTCCCCGAACACAAAGCCGATCAGGGGCTCTAGGGCGACAGGAGGAAGGGAAAAGTGAAGCGACGAGTCTCAGTGTTGAAGCTGAGTGAAGGACAAATGGTTAACACAAGGAAGGTCAGTCAAGGCCCCGCAGACAGGAGGAAGAAAAATGCTGGGGGACGGAGGGACCCCCCTCGCATGTCCACTCCAGGCTTCCTAAGATGAGTTTTCCACTTACCTCTGCTAACTTCAGGGTCACCCATTCTTTGATCTTTGCAGCTTTTTCCTGGACAACTTTTGCTTCTTCAGCTCTCATCTGCTTCTGCGAGAAAGGGAAGGCTTAGTTCATCAGAGTGATCACCAGTGGAGTGAATGACTGGAGGCGGGAAACCCTGAGAAGGAATATCAAGCAACTGGGGCGGGGGGCGGATGGAAAAAAAGAAACTCACTTATGAATTTAAAAAAATACGCTTAAAGTGGGAAAAGCCTTCCTCAGCATGATACATACCCCCAAGCCATGAATAAAAAAGACTAATGAATCTAAACCGTCACTATAAATTACTATATGACAAACAAAAGTTCCCCTAAAATCAAAAGACCAACTGGGGGATGATTTACAACACAGATGACTTATATAAATATGGCTAATTTGAAATGAACAAACCAAAAAACACATGCAAAAAGAACATGAACAGGAAGTCAACAGAAAGAGAAATAAAGGGAAAGAAACCCATGAAAAGCTGTTCAACCTAACTGTAATTTTAAAAATGCACATAAAAGTCAGACATTGTTTCCTCTATCAGACCAACCCAATTTAAAAGTTTGATATTATCCCAAATTGTCAAGGCTGTTGACAACAACCCCTCTTCTAGAAACTGGCAAAGCCTTTTTGGGTGGCAATTTGATAATATCTGTCAACGTTTTAGATGTATATACTGCTGACCTGACAAACCCACTAGTTAGGAATCATTAGTTGCAATATTATTTGATTAAGCCAAAGACGCACAACTGGACATAACCTAAGTGTCCACAAATCAGGGCTAGGCTAAATAAACAAAATGAAAGTGGAATGCTGTCCTTTGATACACAAGAAACGTTCACAGGGAATACTGGAAGGACCTTACGGACAACCAGTTGAAGGGGTTTGCAAACTGGCCACCATCCAGCCTTCCACCTGGTTCCTCTCCCCCACCTCCCCCGCCCCGCCCCGCCCCGCCCCACCTCTTTTTATAAAGAAAGCTGTACTGGAACACAGCCATGCCTATTACTTATGTATTGTCTAGGGCTACTTTCCTGATGCAACGGCAGAGCTAAAGAGTTGCCAACAGAGGCCACACGGCCCACAGAGCCGAAAGTATGTCCTCTCTGGCCCTTTACCGAACAAGTCTGCCAACCCCTGACCTCGTCTGACACGTCTGTATGTGGCTGCAGAAACGGAGGCCCAGAGGGTGACGGGACTTGCCTCTGTCAGGGTGGGCAACACCGCTGAACCTAAAGCCAGGTCTGCTGACTTGCAGAACAGCATTCTTTCTATTCCGACCTTTTATTATTGGAAAACGATTTTTTTTTCTGATCTAAGCTTTAGCAGGAATCATTTTGCCCATGAATCCCCAGATGCAGCCACTTCTGTGAACCCCTGAAAAAAGGAGGTCAAGGTATCTCCAAAGTCAAAGAATAACTCATGAGAGATTTCACGGGTGGACATCGTATTTTCCCACGATGTTTCAGAAACACAGGCTGGGTGCCCCAGAGCATACCAAGGCACATCGCATGATTGGTATGTTCAGAGAATGCCAATGGATGATTCCAAGTTTGCCCATGATGGTGGGGAAATACTCCTAGGGCCGGCTGGCACCTCAGGGCGAATTCACGTGCAGAAAATGAAAAGTCATCTGGCCACACCGTGAGGTGGTTTGTGGGAAATGATGGTGCTCGGGCGCCAGGGGATAAGTGGGGAGGTGAGGCTGAGGGCAGAGGGAAGGGACAGCATCGGGGTGAAGTTAATGGGATTGTAAAGGGGAGGAGGCCGGGCACAGGGGACTGGCAGAGTGATGTTTCAGATGCCCTCTCCGGAGCAAAGGGGCTAACGAAGCTGGAACGCTGGGCATGGCCTCTCCTGGGCACCCACGTGTCTGCCTACTCGGGTTCACTGAGAAACTCTGGCCAACCAGCTGACCGAGGCTCACGGTCCAGCTCCGTGCCACTCCAATACTACGCTGGCAGGGCCCGAGGCCAGGGTGGAGGAGGACAGGCTCTGCTGACCAAACACCAACCTCATGTCTGATACTATACATAGACTACCTGAGTTCATCTCTGGACAGCCCCAGGGTGTATTATGACCCTTACCTTACAGCGGTGTAAATGAGAATCCGTGACTTACTTGCCTGCGGTCAGAGAACAGCAGGTGCTCGTGGCGGGGAGGGGATGCAAACCCAGATCAGTCTGCCTCCCCGGTCCTCTCCCCACTATATCCCCTGCCTGGCTCCTAACATACCTTCTAACAGTTAAATCTCCATGTGAAAGAACAGTTGCATGAGGGAACATGTTCCTCACCAGCAGAGGGCTCAAGCAGAGGGGCTCTGTTCAGTCGCAGGGGGCAAGGGTGCTGAGCGCATCAGCCCTTACCTGCTTCTCCAGCTGTGCTTGCAGCTGGCTGATGAGCTCATCTTTGCCCTGCGTGGCTTTCAGCAGTTCTTGGTACTTCCGGTGCAGGCTGCCTGCTGAGTCCACATTCTTCAGATTGGACAGTTTCACCTTCTCCTCCATCACACCCACCTTAAAAGTACCATCGCCATATAGGGTTGGCATGTGTGTGTGAAATGGCCACTAACCTGCCCTGGGACCCTTCCTGATGCCCCAGCCCACGATTCCCAGGCAGGGCCCTCACCCAGAACAGGTGGAGCCAATTAATTCCATGACCATCTATCAAGCCTCATCTGGGCAAACTAAGGACTTGACAAGGAAGAAACGGTCGGGTACTGGGCCATCGCACTCTGGGGGCCCCAACAGGGACAAGCTGGGCAGGACAAACAGCCCAGAGGGAAACTGCTTCAACCTCACTGTGGCACAGATATCTGCTGCTCACTGAATGTCCCTGTGCTTCTCGCTCTGCCCCAGTCCCCTCGTAGCTAGATGGCCATGGACTTCACTCCAGTCAATGGGTCCGAGTGGAGTGCCTCATCATTTCTGGACTGAGGTATTTAAGAGCTCTCTCCCTGCCATGGCAACCAAGGAGGCTGCCTGTTCCAGAGGGTCCAGGCAGAAGATGGAGAGCTCCATCGTGGAAAGCAGAATCCCCAGCTAACCCTCAATGGAGAGGCACCACGACTGAGAACTGAATGGGATAAGCTGCTGAGACCTGTTACCTTAGCATAATTTGGCCTATTTGGACTAATCCAGCCACCTGCTCATGCACTAACCCTTCCCCAAAGACCCCTTTGTGCCCAAAGAGAGCTCCGTGCACCTGAATTAATTTGTTCAGGAGAACTGACATGTGACTGCTGGTTTTCCATGTCCCCATGAGGAGCTGATGGGGGTGATGAGTACGTGCGTGTGTGTCCCTGGGAAGGATCAGGGAAGGCCAACAGCCGTTTCTGCTGCACGGTGCCGCCCATCCCCTGCCCCGGTTACCTGGGTCTCTGCGTTCTCGGCCCTCTGCTCTGCCTCCAGCAGCCTCTGCTCCAGCTCCTGCATCTGCTCAGCCAGAGAGGAAGGACAAATGTAGGTGGGGTGTCCCTACTACGACCATGGCCTCAGGGCAAAGTGAGCAAATTGTGCAGGCGCTCCACACAGGCCAGGCTAAACTGCCAACTCAATGGTGGCTCAAGGGTGTCAGGGCAAAGATTTTCATGGCAACCCTCCCTCATCCCAAATTTAGGGGGCAGGTGAGCCTAGAGCTGCTGTCCTCTCTCCCGTGCGTGGGGTACCTAGGCAGGTAGCAGGGACGTTCTTCATGAGGCAATGCTGCCCTCAGCCCTCGGCCTCCTCAGCACCAGGTCACAGGCAGGGCCCTGCCACTGCTCACCACGTGCCTGGCGTGGAACACGCTCCCACGTGAGCCGCCATGTTAGCAGTAAGAGAATGTTCCTTCCCACCCAAGGACAGCTCACTGGCTGGGGACAAATATTTATCCTTATCACGGACATCTCTAACTCTAAATGGCATTAACAGGCATCACCTTATTTGATTTCTTTAATCTTAAACAGAGAGGCTCAGGACACATTAGTACTATATAACGCGTCCCTCTTAGGCACCAGACCTGACTGGGCCAATCAGGTTCTCTGTCCCCAGGAATCTGACATCTGGGATCGAGAGACCAGAGACAAGAACCAGGGGGCTGCATGGGAGATCGTGCATAAACTTCACCAAGTCATGGTTGTTAGGTCATTCTTCCAGTTCCATGAGCTGGCCCAGGATCCTCCAAATTAATTCCATTTGCTTAAGCTAGCCAGAGTTGGAGTTTTGGCCCACCTCAGAAACATCTCTAATACAGTTGCTGGGAGCATTTACATTTTTTAAATAAGATTTATTTATTTTGAGAGAAAGAGAGAGGGATCACGAGCAGGATAGGAAGAGAGAGAAGCTCAAACACACTCCTCGCTCAGCACAGAGCCTAATGTGGGGCTCCATCTCCCGACCCTGAGTTCATGACCTGAGCCGAAACCAAGAGTTGTATGCTTAACCAATGCACCACCCAGGCACCCCGGAAGCATTTAATTTTTTAAAGAATACAATGAGGGGGATCTGGCTGGTTCAGTCAGGACAGCATCTGACTCTTGATCGTGGGGTCATGAGTTTGAGCCCCATGCTGGGTATAAAGGTTACTTAAAAAATAAAATAAATAAAAATACAGTGAAATATTGAATAGGAAGACTTTGGATTCCTGACAAGTTTCCCTAGATTATCCTTCAGCTGGACCATTCAGATCCAACATCTGCTCTGTAGCTCAGAAGACATGGGATTTCCATAGGAAATGATCACTCATATTCATAACCTTCTGTAACAACTGTCTGATATTTTCAAACTCTTTTGATAGAGAAACTTGTCTTCCTATTTTATGGATGGAGAAACCAAGGTAGAATGAAGAAGAGAATTGTATTTAAGTCCTACTGCCCAGCTGGGCATTTCTACGTGGGCAAAGAGCAGTCAGTGACACTGCTCAGGGCCGGAAATCACTCTGTTATTGACAACACAGTGAGCATTTTTTCCCCTCGAGATTTTACTACTAGAAGTCCCTTTAAAGTATACTATCCGGGGCACCTGGGTGGCTCAGTCATTAAGCGTCTGCCTTCAGCTCAGGTCGTGATCCCAGGGTCCTGGGATCGAGCCCTGCATCAGGCTCCCTGCTCGGTGGGAAGCCTGCTTCTCCCTCTCCCACTCCCCCTGCTTGTGTTCCCTCTCTCGCTGTGTCTCTCTGTGTCAAATGAATAAATAAAAATCTTTAAAAAAAAGTAATAAAGTACACTATCCAACAATGTCCACAATAGTCAAACTATGGAAAGAGCCCAGATGTCCATTGACAGATGAATGGATAAAGAAGGTATGGTACACACACACACACACACACACACACACACACACACACCTGCAGCCATCAAAAAATGAAATCTTGCCATTTGCAACGACGTGGATAGAACTACATGGTATTATGCTACGTGAAATGTCAATCAGAGAAAGACAGTTATCATATGATCTCACTCATATGTGGAATTTAAGAAACAAGGCAGAGGATCATAGGGGAAGAGAGGAAAAATAAAACAAGATGAAATCAGAAAGGGAGACAAACATAAGAGACTCTTAATCTCAGGAAACAAGCTGAGGGTTGCTGGAGTGGAGAGGGTAGAGGGATGGGGTAACTGGGTGACGGACACTGGGGAGGGTATGTGTTGTAATAAGCACTGGGTATTACGTAAGACTGATGAATCACAGACCTCTACCTCTGAAACTAATAATACATTATATGCTAATTTAAAAAAATAATAAAGTACACTCTCACTAAAGCAAATGGAACAGAAGGCACCTTCCAGAGTCTGGGGTCTCCTCCCAGCCTGGGCTGGCAGCCGCTGGGTCCCCGTATTGCTGCCGACCCTCTAGCTGTTCTTACCTGCCCAGCAGGGACACTAAAAACTCAAAGCATTTTGTATTCGCCTTTATGCTGGAATATTTTTTTTTCCTCTAAAACTAATTCCTGAACACTGAAAACATTTCAAACATCTGGAACGTTTTTGAGAAGAGTCTAATGACCACGTATCCATCACTATTGTCCAACATTTACCAACATCCTGCCATCCTTGTTTGAAAAGAATATTTTTAACACCATCTTCCCGTTTTCATGAATGCATGTTTTCTCCACTGCCCCGGGAGTACTCCAGGTGTGTCTGCGCTGGAATGTCATTTTTAGAGTTTTCGAACTTCACTTAATGCCAGGATCAATACTTTTCACGATGGCAGACTGTTCTTTGCACTTGCATACAGGGCCACCCCTCATCTGGGTTCTATTTCTCCTCTCAGCAGGTTCCCTAGGGCCGTGTCCTCAGCTGTCCTTTTAGTCCGTGGGCCTGGGGTGATGCGCCGGCCAAGGAGGTGCTGGGTTCAGGCAGGTGGCTCTGAGGCGGATCCACTTTCACCAGCTGTGACCGGCACACGAGACTCATAAATCAGGGGCCCTGGCACTGGCCGCAAGCGACCTGATGACGTGCGTTTGGCGCCAACCTGGTGCTTAATCCCCAAGTGCACAGCTCCTTGTTACGCTCATGACGCTGTGAAATGGCAGCCCCAGGGCAGCAGCTGCAGTGGGCCCTCCAGGGCGCTCCCGGCACAGTCCCGTGAGCAGAGCGGTGGCCTGAGCCGAGCGCTGCACCTGCTGGGGCTCAGCCATCCTTAGAAAAGGGGGCTCCGCATTCCTACCACTGCTCTGGTACAGGGAAGCACTAAGGCTTGAGCCTGACTGGCTTTGCCACTGTGTGGCTTTAGGTAGGTTCTTTAACTGCTGTGCCTCAGTTTCCTTACCAGGAAAAAAAGATAATGAGTCTCCACTGCCTAGGGTTGCCAGGAAGATTCACACGAGGTGCCTCTCGTAGAGCTCAGGTACACAACGCAGCCCTTACGGAGAAGCTGACAGTAAGTTCCTTGCTGGTTTTCATAGAGATGACACGGAGGACCAGGGAGACCAGTTTGCCTGGGACAGTCTGGTGTTCCCCTGTTGTCCCACAATAATTACTAACCGAGCCTTCTTTTCTCCCTCCAGAGTGTCCTGGGTTAGATGATAAATTACACAGCTGTCCCACTTACGATCCACCTGGAGCAAGAATGGCCTCAAGCCTGAGGCTGTCAGCTCTCGCCTGCAGAGCGTCTTGTACGACCCACCGTGCTGGGGGCATTCAGCTGACACAGACAGAACTAAACAAGGCCATTGGCTGCGTGTCCAGCACTGGCTTAAGCACTCGACGCGTGTCGACTCATTTAATCTTCATCCCAATGGGAAGGAGCTCGTCCTATTAGTGCTGCTGTGTGTAGGGGTTGGGCAGCGTCGCTGACAGGCCCCGTGGCTAAGAGGCAGAACGAGGGTTCCCCCTCAGGAGGGCTGCCTCCAGAGTCTACTGCACTGTTAGCCGCCGTGCCTCTCACATCTAAATCCCGCGTGTCACGTAAAAACTGAGATTCCACACACAATCCCTGGCTCCCAGCTTCCCTTGAAAACTCAGAAGATCTGGACATGCTAGGGTTCCACTTTCTCACGGCAATAACTGGCTTCCTCCTCTTGCTCCAGCATGTTCCCTTGAAGCCTTTCCAGAACCCACCTGTCTCACTTACGTAAGTTACCTGCAAGCGTCTGAGTAGCAACCCCCCGTTTTAGCTATTACATGGTTCTAACTCGGTTATTAAAGACGATGGCTTTCGACTTTTTCTTTTTTTACTGGATCTTTTGTTTAATTCAAATCCTATGTTTAGTCCCAAATATTTAAAATACAGCACCGTGGGGCTGCCCTGGTGTCTGACTACAGAAAAGGCAGGAGAGAAAGGGCTCCGAGTCTTCTCTGTGGGTTCCCCTGCTCCTCTGGGGCACATTGGGCTTAAGATGTCCACTAGAAGAACAGCTGAATGAGGCTGAGGCAAGGCCGTGGACAGAGTCTGTGCCTGTAGATCTCACTGTCAGGGGTGTAAGGCCCCACATGGAGCTTACTTGAGGCAGATTCCTGGGCTTTGCCCACAGAGGGTTTTAATTAGCAAGCCTGAGGCACGGACCCAGGAATGTGCTTGGAAAGAAAAATCTCAGGTGATCCCGATGTGGGAGGCCCACAGCCACTCTCTGAAAAACACTAGCCTGGCCACAGGATGCAAAGCATAGCAAAGCTTCTGGGATACATTGTGGGGCCAAACCCGTATCAGCACAGAGCTTCTCGAATGGCTTCACAGGGTTACAGAGCTCTTTCAATACTAAGGTTCCAGAAAAATACTACAGTGGACCCTATTAAAAATAGGTAGCTAGGAGAATAAAAAGCCTCTCTCTCTCTCCCTCCCTCTACACACACACACACACACAGGATCATACACAGTGAATAAAAGTTCTAGAAGGTATCTGTTCCCAAAGCAAATTGGATCTGTCAGCGAAGGCCAATTCCGTGATGACTGTATGCAGACTTCAACATATTTCCAACTAGTCCTGACAGCCCTAGTACTCTCCTTTCCCAGTA